CCACTTTCAGCCCATCAAAAATTGATTTAATTGCAATTTTTTCCCCCAATTAGGAGCACTGGAGCTTAACTAATTGGAGTAATAGAGAGTAATAAGGCTCTGATAAAAAGCCTTCCTCTGCCTCCTTTGTATCTTGTGTCATCGCTTGTCAGAGGTCAGAGAGCTTGCATATTCTATTAGGCAGAGTTGCCTTCATTTGTACAAATTAGTTTACCCAACAGTAATTAAAATGCCAGTGCAGGTCGGGGAGAGCTGAATACAATTGATGGGCACGTTGGTGAAGGATTTGACAGCTCTGGTGGCCTCCCTTGCCAGAGCGTGTCAGTGCTGAATCAAAGGCTACACAAACCCACAGACCCGTGTGTTTAACCCGCGGCACCGTTGGCACCAACTGCTTTCTCTCATCCACTCTCCATCCTGGACTTGCTTTCTCTTCTTTTCTCATCTCACTTGAGGCTTTCTAACAGATATTTCCCATCTTTGAGATGTCCTTTCTGTTGATAGCTTTCATAATGCTGCTACCAGCCCCCTGCGTCCCTGTCTCCCTCGGTGCTCCCCTTCCTCTCCCCCCCCGCCTTCCACATTCCCAGCTGCAGGGCTCTGTCAAGTAATAACTTCTTTGTTTCCCAGTCCAGTGAGTCTCTGTATATAATAGTCTCCAAAATGGAACAACGATGTCCAATGCAGGGGGCGGGGGAGTGCGTGAGGAGGAAGGAACAGACTCTTGCACGCGTCAAGCAGATTCTGCATTTGAAATCCCCAAAGAGCAGAATGGGACTGGAGAAGCAATCTGATTACAGTACAGGGGAAGGGTGCAAGCCTGAGGCATGGGGGCAGTTTAGAGAGAAGAGGTTGGAAAGAGCCTGTTTCACCTAGGTTCTTTCAGTGACTTTGCATTGCAGGATTCCCAGCTCAGGTAGTGCCTGATCTGAAGGCTAGGTTGACAGTGAGCAAAGTGTGTATTTGTAGAATGGGATTTGTATGTCTGGAGCTGAGACTGTCTCCAAGCCCCATGACAAACAGCCTCTTCCCCAAAAAACTGATGGCCAGCTGCCTCTTTCCCTCTGGTTCATCCACATCTGGCAATGTTCAGTCCAGAACAGGATAAAGAGGGATGCTACAGGTGGGGTGAAATGGTGTACTTGGCACCTTGTGAGCAGGCACGGGATCACTGCAGCTGGACTGTAGCCAGAGCACTGCTGCTGTTGCCAGAAATGCCATGGGATTCAACAACCACAAGTCAGTCAGATGGACAGTTCTTGCATTTCTTCCAAAAGCGCTGCCAGGATGTGTGTTCTCTCTCATCCCCTGGCCCAGCTTCTGTTGCGGGGGGATGATCTCTAACGAAATGTCTCCTGTACAGCATAGAGAAGGTCTGGCTTCAGGAGAAGCAGGTTGTTTTTTTTCATTTTGGGGGGTTTATTCCCCCCTCCCCCTTCTCAGTAGGGAGTTTCAAATGGGAAAGAGAACATCAAAGTATCAGATCAGTTGGAAAATGCCTTGCTTTGGACAACAAAAACATGTTGTATATGAAATATGTGTGTCTCAATGGCCTGCAGAATCGTCATCTTCCTGGTACCCCAGAGGTGGAAATGATATGTTGGCTTGTTTTGTTTTACCTCCTAGGAGATCCCAGTGAAGATAACATGCCCTGTTACAGAAGCTCTGCAGAAGCTCATTTTCCTGTTAGAGGAGTCTTTGGAGGGAGTTTGTAGTCATGATACCCAGCAGCTTTCACTGAGGAAAGGGCTTTGCATTTCCAAGACCATCTGAAGCTTGGGGATACCATTTTTTATGTAGCATGTAGATACATCTGGGTAGTGTCTATGTACATCAGTAGCATCATATATACATCAGAGAGATGGGTCATCCCTGCAGTAATATATATAGGGTATCTTCTTCCCAATCTCATCTCTCCTCAGTAGCTCTGACTCCTGAGAGCATTGTAGGCAAGATAAATGACATTCGGTAAACCAGTAACTCTGTTTGAGTTGCTTCTCTTGGGCAGCTGGCAAAAACAGTTGTGGAGAGGTTGCACTTCTCTAGATCACAGGGGTTTGGTGTGTGCTCTGTGCTTTCTAAGACAAAAAGCTTGCTGAAGGTAAACTGGAAGAAGCAAGCCTGGTAGAAGGCTTCAGTTCTGCTGAACGATGTTGCAGAAGATTTGGAGCTAAACTTTACATGCTTAGTTCCAATTTGAATATTGTTTTAGACATAACCAAAGCTGACATATGTTGCACTTTTGCTTGGAATGAAACAGTCACCTCTGAGAGGTTCCCAGTTATGAGAGGCCTGGAGGTGGAAGGTGTATTCCTGCAGACCAGGCTCAAGGTGAGGGGCCCTGGGGATCCAGACTTCCGGGTCAGTTTGCTCCAAGGCTTTGGGAATTTCTCATTGGCACCACTTCTTGTGCATGTCTTGTGAATGCTGCTTTCTAATCCAGGCAGTGAAGGTGCCCTGCTCTTCTGGGAGAAGTCTTATCTTTGCTTGCTAATGGGCTCCAGCCTGTTAAAGATAAGGCCTGCAAACCTGATCCTGCTGAAGTATGAGACAAAATTCCTGTTGACTGAATGGAGTCAGCTTTACTTAGAAGAAACTTGTTTGTGGCCCTGAGGCCTGTATGTGATCCTGGAGACAAATCTCTTCATCTAATGCTATTTTTCTTCTTTCTTTGGAGGGGTGGGGGGTAAGAACTGAGGAGGGAAAGCTGAAGTCCAGAATTGACAGCATGAGCAGGGATTAGACCTTGCTGTTCCTCCCACCTTTTTCTCCCTGTTGGTGTGCCTCCATGCTAATTTAGACCTGTGGCAACCATCAAAGCCTTGTGCATACCTTCTGCACAAAGGGGCCTGTCTCCCACGTGAGGGCGTTCTCTGCTGGGACAGAGTCAGTTTGTCCCCCAAAAGAAAAATCTTAAGCACCCAATTGCCTGCTCGACTGACTCCCTGACTGCTATTATGTTTCTAACCACGGTAATTGGCTTTAGTACTTACTAATGGATTATGTTTGGGGAGGGAGGGACAGAACCCAACACCTAGCTTTGTAGCTGAGGGACTCCCTGACCAAAGTGCTGTTTTCCAGACATGGGGTTTGACTGGTGCGCTGTCAGAGTGGCTGTCTTTTGCTTGTTTTTCCTCAGAGATGGGACACATTGACCAAAGGGATATCTTCCCTCTTGTCCTGCATTATGGTGGAGCAGGTATTGGGCAGAAACCCTGTTTCCAAATGTGAAATGCTGTTGCCTTTGGCTTTTCCTTAGACTGTCAGACTTTGGTCAGACTTCCATGGAGAAGAATGTGTGCACCCTGCAGCAGAGCCCTGTGCTATAGATGCATTGGGCCAATTGCATGTGCACTGCTAATGAACCTGGGATTTTGCATGTAAGACAGCCTTGTTGAGGAGACTTTGAAATAGCTCTGGTGCTGCAGGCCTTGTCTAGGCCTAAAGGGCAGTTAAGGATCACAGGACTTGTGGACAACTGCAGTTATGTGAGTTTAGATAGAAGTGATAAAGCCAACAAAAGAGAAAGCTTTCATAGCTGTAGATCTTCCTTGGTTTCCATTAGCTCTTTCAGGGAGCTTGATGTATCTGTTTGCCTCTCTTGGAGTGTATTGACAGTGCTGCTTTGGCCTTATGATTTGGAGAAACCAATTGCTCACCTAAACCACAGAGCTAGAAGTCCTGACTTCTGGCCCTGCTTCTACATGGTTCTTCTCTGGCTTTGAGTGAGTGAGTGCATATTTGCTACTTTGCTGCTGGGTGCCTTGTAACACCAGCAGTAGTGCTTCTTACAAAAGTCAAGAATGCTGCAAGAATCCATTCCTGGTACAATACAAGCTTGGAGACACCTGATTTCCAAAGAAAGGATGTTTGAGAGGTTCAAAGAAATGTTTAAAAATGCTATTCTTAGAGATGTGACATTGTTTCTTTAATTTACTTTCCTCTTTTAGCTGCTAGCTCCATGTCATGCTGCAAAGGATAGAGCTGGCTTTTATTTAAAGCAGGTTCCGTTTCCTGCATTCTTGCTATCCTTGTTGCAATGACTTAAACATAGTTTTGACACTTTATTCTTGGTAGCTGCAATAAATATGGCTTTGTGAGAGGTCATTTATAGCTTACTTAGAAACCTTTGTGTGAGCTGCTTTCTCTTATTTGGACTGAGGATAGGAAGTTGGCATAAAACCAGCAGTGTGGTGTGGAGAGCCACAGCACCCATGTTTCTGCTGCTTGATTTTGAAGATTTGTTCCTGTCTTATCAACTAGCTTTAGGCCATTGGCTATCAGACAACCTCTGGAACCAGCACGTGCAGCAGGGACATAGCATCACCAGAGGACTTTGGAATGGACCCTGCAGGAGAGTGTGAGCTGAGCCAAATGTTGCTGAGCCAAATGTTGCTGCAGGAGGACTGTCCAGCCTCTAATAGTGCTTGAGTGCTGGGGAGGGCAAGCTGAGCCAGCTTTGAAATTGGCCCTGCTTTGAGCAACCGGGGCTGGAGACCTCTTTCCTGTGATTCTTTAGGCCTGTGGTGCTGCAGCCAGTTCATGATTGTGCTCAGAAGTTGCCAACAAACAGAAGCCGAGACATGAGTAGGAAGTAACAGGGAGTTTTCCACGAGGTCTTTCTGGAGCTTACAGCCCTGACATGTATTCACTCACATGAAACTTGCTGAGTACTGTGCTGTTTAGAAAATGTTGTTGCAATTTACAGCTGCTCCTATTTTAGGTTTTCCCCTTGCATATACAAATACAGTTTTATGCCCTGCCAATTCTCTGCAGTTGTGACTTGCTGAGTCTGGGAAGCTCAGCTACTGAGAGCTCTGGAGCACTTCTCCCTTTGCTGCTGCCTGCTCCTTGTGAAATGTGGTGGAACATGCTGACATAGTCTTGGACCAAAATTCAGTCTGTCTTGTAGCCTATTTTCTGGCTTGCTTATGCACTATTTCTTCAGAATACAAGGATTAGTAAGGTTTTTTTCTTGTTTGCTTGTGTTCTGTAAGCAGCTCATTTGTGACGGGGACAGCCTGCTGTGGACACACCTCACCTCTGAGAATCTGGGACCTTGAGAGGTAAGTGAGCTTTCAGGTTATGGGGAGGGACTTGATGGGGAAATTAAGTAACATTGAGAAATGCAATATTGGAGATGGTGTCCTTGAAGGCAAGGGTTGTCCCTGCCCATGGCAGGGGGGTTGGAACTAGATGATCTTAAGGTCCTTTCCAACCCTAACTATTCTATAATTCTGTGTTTAAATATGAGATGTAGGATGGAGTGGGGGACAGAACAAACTGGTGTGGAAAGATGACAGGGAGGGGCGGAGTGTGTTTTTCTGGTTCAGTAGGGAGCAGCTCGACTTTTCTTCCCAGCATTTCCAGTTCTCCACAGCTACCCTGGTTTCTTCCCATTACCCATGTACAATCAGAGTATGCACATGACACCTTCCTTTTCATTGATCTATCAGTTGATGCTTTAGCCTGAGCCAGAGGGGTGAGGAAGGTTGTTTTCATCTTCCCATTCAGTCACTTGTCTGTGGTGCTCAGAAGCCAGAGGTAGTAGCTCTGGGAGGTGAGGGGTGGCAACAGGTTGTCTATGGAAGTGTTGTCTTCTCCCTGTCTTAATAAGCATTGAGGAGGTTAATTGCTGTGGCCTCTGATTTGGGACCTTTGAGTAGTTCCTGTTTGGTGAAGGTGCTGACCTTAGCAACTGGGGAAATGTTGGGCTCAAAGCCTGACATGAGACTCAAATGCTGACAAATTTGAAACTCTCAGCCTGGGGGTCTTTGTGTAGTGATGGAAAGATAGCAAATATTTGGCAGGATTATTGAACGGCAGCTCAGCTTTCCAGGGCTGGTATGCTCTGAGTAGGAGTGGCACAGCACAGATTATCAATGGAGGGTCGTCAGGATTGAGGTGAGCTGGTGGGCTTGGGAAGGGGAGAGAAAGGGGACAATGGCAGAAGGGGCCTGAGGGGTGTCAGCAGAGCTGTGTGTGGGGAAAGGAGGTAGAGAAGGATCGGTGTGTGTGCAGGGCTCATCTGAGGCCAGTTGCCTTCTAATCTATAGTTTAGATCAGATTGTCTGAGTCAACTGCATCCAATACAAACCAGCTTGGTTTTCTCTGAAGTGTAACAAAAACAGACTGCAAAGGATGCATCCCACAAAGGACAAACTAGAGTAGGAAAAACAGCACCAGCGCATTCAGCTATGGTGCATGTTTTCTTGGTGACCTAGTCTGATGGTGCCTTTGGAGTAACCCAGAAGGATGCAGGTTGTGCTGTGATACCCCTGCTCATCAGGTCTTCCGGCTGTTCTTGAATAGAAGCATCTGACAGGGGTGAGGAGATAGGCAACCTGCTCCCCCCTGCCTCAGCCTCTCTGACAGCCTTTCCCAAGGAAGCCTGAAGAGATAATAAAGCTGTGTAGAAAATAGGATTAAGGTAATGAACAGGCACAACGGAGTTTGATCTTTCAATAACGTCAAAGCCTGACTGACAGGCAAATAAAAAAGCCAAGGCAACCTAGGCCACTGGGCCTCTATTGCAATGGCTGAAGTGTCAAACTTATTCTTCCCTCTTCACCTGTCACAGCTGGAATGCACCATGCCACTGGGTCTTTTCCTCTCTTGGGGCCTGTTTGTGAGCTGGAAGTCTTATCAGCACGTGCAGGGCAGGAGGCTGAGTAAGAAGCATGGCTGGGAAACTAGCACATGAAGCTTGCTGTGGTCATTTATAGTGAGGGAGTACAGACTTATCCTTCCAGGTCTTGAATTCTCCATAAACCATTCTTCCCAAAAGAGCTTTGGATTGATTTTCAAAGGCGCCAGTCATTTCCAGAAGAGATCTCATAGGGAAATGCTATTTCTTCCTTTGAAGTTTATGCATGTTATCTCCCTGGTCAGACTCCAGAAGTGGTTGCATGGCATAGAAACTCAAAATCTTAAAGCTACCAGGACTGAAAAGTTTCTCCTGTGCCCAGTGTGTCCTATTAGCATCTGGAAGACAGAGCCAGGCCTCCCGCATTTGTTGCTTACCCCTTCCTGTGACCACTAAGGGCCAGAGTCTAACCTGCAGATCCTGAGCATGGCAAGGACTTTATTTCCAAGAGCAAAATCCAGGCAACTGCTCTGTCAAAAAAAATCAGGCAGGGTAGAGTAGTGCTTAAGATGTGTTCTTTAAAACTACAGGATCCTTATCACCACTTAGATGTTTAATGCTGTCCAAGAACAGTTAGTGCAGTTTAGCTGGTTGTTTATCCATGGGGGTTTGTGTAACGTTGCAGCAGTTTCTGTGGCATTCTCTTCCCTTGGCGTTGGTGGTCTTTTTCCCCAACAGCTGAGAGCTGGAACATGCTACAAAAGGATTTAAAGCTTAAATAACCTTTTGTGTACTGATCATCTTAGTTCCAGGCCAGATAAGTCCTTGGCTGGTACTTGTAGCTGTTGGTCATGGTATGTTTCATATTTATGACCTTTGCAGTTCCCTGACCCTGGGGCAGCCATTCTCATCCCTCCAAGAGGAAGGGGATAAAGTCTTCACCTGGAAATATGTCCTGGGCTTTGAAAAGGGCTTGGTTGGGTTTGGCAGTGAGGAAATTTTTATTGGGGAAAGGAAACGCCTCTTGCTGCATCCCACCCCCACAACTGTCTTTCATTTCTGACTCTGCTGAGATGATGGTGTTGGATCAAAGCCACAACAGGCAGCAACAAGCAATTGTCAAGAGGAGTCTAAAGGAGGGGAATGACCGCGTAATGCCAAGACACTGTCTCTGATGGCTGAAATTCCAGCTGCTGTTACACCTGGCCCTTTCTCCTGTAATGAAGGAGGGTGTTTTTTTTTCTTATGCTTTTGAAGCTGGCTAGCTGCACCTCTGCAGGACCTACCTCATCCCGCACATGCTACATTATGCCATCTGATTGCTTTTAGATGTGGGGAAGTTGCTGTGTACTTATTGCCATTCAGGATCAAGGTGTGTTCATGGAGGGGGGCTATGAATAGCTTTGGTGATTAGGGGTCTGCACAAAAAAGGAGAATGATTAGCAGTATGAAGTACTAGATACTAACCTTTATCCTTGCATCTAGTATCAGGCCTTGCTGACACCTGGCAGTCCCCTTGCCCTTCAGTGCCAATGAAGAATATGATGGCAGCTGCCCCTCCTGCAGGTCAGGTACCTCTGCTCCCTTTCTCTCTCAGACCATCCTGTCATACCTGCCAGTGCTAGTGTGTTGCTCAGCAGAACAGCCAGTTAATGGCAAACAAGAGAAAAGGATACTTTCTTCAAATCATGCTCTTTCTTTTTTTTTTCCTGACTCCTGTCTCCTTTGGGAGTTTATCTCCCTGGGAGATGAGGGTGATGCACCACTGGGAACAGCTCCAAGGTCAGCATTTGTCATTTGCCTGCAGAGAACTGATGCTCCCTAGCCTGTCATGGTGGTCTGCATGTCTTTAGGTGACACATGCCCCTGCCTCAAGGATGCTTCTCCATAAGGTAGGATACTCCAGAGGTCTCTTTGCAGCAACTCTGCCAAGCCTGATATTTGAAATGGACCAGTGATCTGTCTGGCATGGTAGTCCTTACGCTGTAAACTTTGAATGCACGAGTCCTATATTGTCCTTTCCTGTGACACAACGTGACAGATGCAGGGCACAAGAGCTGTTGTGAAAACTGAGCCAAAGTTAGCTGTGCCCTGCAAGCCACCCAGATCCTCCACCTTTTAAATATCCAGTCTTTGTCCATCTCCTCTCCCCTTTTGAAAACATTTTTGGCAGAGTGGTTTTTTTGTATTTTGTTGGGGTTTTTTTTAAGAACCCTCTAATTTCTTGTTCGGTTTTTCTCCCTCTCCTGAGTCCTTTGAAAGTGGCTTTACGCCGTCACTGACACCAAACTGACACTTTGCGTTTCCCCACTTCTTATCCCTTTATGGCAACAGATGTTGAAATTTTGTATCCCTTTTATCTGTCTCTCTTTGCCCTCTTCCTGTAATTAGGTTTCCCTTGTTAGCAGTACAAAGTGGCCCGGTTTGCTGCCTGGCCTTTTGAGCCATTGTGTCTGAGCACATTTTTTTTCCTCCTCTTCGGAAGAGTTCCTTCCCCCTTAAGTAATAGGCAGGGTGTGGGCCAAAGCTGTGGCTTTTTTTTGTTTCTTTGTTCTCCATTTATCTCTGCCACCTTTTTCAAAGGGATGAGGGAGGAAAAAAATAGAGTGGATGGAAGGGGAAGATAGTTGCATTTCTTGACCGTCAGGCCCCTCTGCTCTTCAGGTGTTCAAGGCAGGTGCCTTTGAAGTCTGCAAGTTTTGGGGAGGCGGGAGGTAGAGGATTCATGAGAGTGGCTTGGGAGTGGAGGAGAAGGGAGATTCAGGTGTGTGACTGGTGCCCTCAGCAGAGGGGTGGGGATGAAGCTTCCAGGGTAGCTAGGCAGCTGTGGAGCAGGTTAGTAATCCGTGTTTACCTTTAGTGCTATCACATTGTGCTCTTTCTTTCCAAGAGCCAGCATGAGCATTACCATCACAAGCAGCTGAAGCTTGCTAACTTGCTGCTGCTTGATCTCTGGTATGTGCTTCCATGGGACCCTTCTTAGACTCCATCTGTCTGTGCAGTGGGGTGGGCAAGAATTAGTTGCTCTCTTTCAGATTTCAGTGTATGTTGATCTGCATCCACTTTGGTGGCTCTTAGAGCCATTGAGTGAGTGAACATGAGCACTTGTCAACAGCGAAGGAGAGCTATAAAACTTGAGTTCTCTGTGATGTTCTTAAACAGCGAGTGCAATTTGACAGTTGTGGTATATAGTACTGAACACCCTGATTAGCTGGTCACTACTGATACCTTCTTGTTTAAATCCAGTCCTTCTTGGCTTTGCAACTTGTCATGCTCAGATATTTTTATATGGGGAAGTGGATAAATAAAGTGAGAATCTGCAGGTCTAGTTCTTTGCTGTAAAGCTTGCTGAATGTTTTCAACTAAAGCTTTTAATGTAGAAGCTTGGCCCAAGATACACAAGCAGACTTCTTAACATTGTGTCCTAAAACAAGCTCTGTAGAAGATCATTCTCTCTGCAGCTTTGAACTCCAAGGTTTA